CCGGGCGGTCCGCCCCCTGCCAGTGACAGCGGGGTCTCCGAGGACCCCCCCTCCGACCAGCTCGACAGCCCCCTGGGGTGCTGCGACGGGGGGCTCAGCGAGGCCTCCTACCCCTACTCCGACCCCGGCCAGCCCCTGCCCATCCTGGGGGTGCCTGGGGCCCCGCGCCCCGAGGTCTCCATCGACCTGGGTGAGCTGTGGGGAGAGACCGGGCTGGGCACTGGGGGAGCTGGGGGCACTTAGGGGTACTGGAGGGGACTGGACAGGCTGGGGAGAACTGGCAGGGCTGGGGGACTGGGAAGAACTGGGGAACTGGTAGGAACTGGGCAGACTGGGATTAATGGGGGAGGAGCTGGAGGAGCTGGCCAGGAGTCCTGCACTGGGGTCGGGGGGGACACAAGACACGGCGCTGCTGACAGCACCCGCTCTTCTCTTGCCCAGACATGTGGCACCCGGGCTTCTTCCTGGAGGAGAGCCAGGACCCACCTGCGGCCCCCGCGCCAGCATCCTGCACCCTCACCGTCAAGGACCTGCTGCTCTCAGGCAGCTCTGACCCCGTGAGTCCCTGTCCCCTTGTCCCCACCCCTTACCTTCCCTGAACCTTGGTCCCATCTCCATCCCTGTCGCCTGTTCAACCATGATCCCATCCTCATCCCTGAACTATGGTTCCATCCCCATCCCTGTCCCCATCTCTGTCCCTGCTTGGCCATGGTCCCATCTCCATCCCTGTCGCCTGTTCAACCATGATCCCATCCTCATCCCTGAACCATGGACCCAACCCCATCCCTGTCCCCATCTCTGTCCCTTCCTGAACCATGGTCCCATCCATATCCACATCCCTCTCCCTGTACCCTCCTGGACCATGGTCCCATCCCCAACCCCAACTTTGCTGTTACCTCTGGGGCCTTGGTCCCTTGGAGGAGGGGGGTCCCTCGGCCCCCATGGTCCCTCGGGGTGGGTGCGGGGTAACCCCGCACCCTGGGGACATCACCAGTCCATGGCCCTGCAGCAGCTGCCAGTGCCCAGCTCCCTGCTGCGGCAGAGCCAGGGGCAGTGCCAGGAGCTGGTGCTGACGGAGGACGAGAAGAAGCTGCTGGCGAAGGAGGGGGTGTCCCTGCCCACGCAGCTGCCCCTCACCAAGGTGGGTCCCACAGCAGCCGGGCGCAGGGCGTGGGCACTGCGGCCACTGGGGTCCCCAGCCACCCTGACCCCTGTCTCCCCCAGTATGAGGAGCGGGTGCTGAAGAAGATCCGGAGGAAGATCCGGAACAAGCAGTCGGCTCAGGAGAGCCGCAAGAAGAAAAAGGAGTATATCGACGGGCTGGAGAGCCGGTATGGCCCCCCCCCAACCCCTGAACCTGGCCTGTTCCCGGGGTGGCTGCACCCCAATCCCCTGGGCTGGCATCCACATCCTGCCCCAGGCACCCATGGGTGCACCCGGCAGTGGTGCCCCAAGCTGGGTGGTGCTGGGGTCTGGGCCATCGCCTCCTTACCCCATCTCCCTCTCCCCGTCTCCCAGGATGTCGGCGTGCACGGCCCAGAACCAGGAGCTGCAGAGGAAGGTCCTGCACCTGGAGAAGCAGAACTCGTAGGTGCCCCACAGGGGACAAGGGGCAGACAGGGACACAAGGGGCACAACGGGGACATGGGGATCACGATGTGACCGTGGGGGGTGAGAACCCCCCCCCCAGGCAAGCTCTGCGGGGGGCAGGAGGGGCTCGGAGGAGAGTCCCAGCCCAGCTTGACCTCGGGGTGCTGATGAGGTCTCCCTGTCCCCAGGTCCCTCCTGGAGCAGCTGAAGAAGCTCCAGGCCCTCGTGGTGCAGTCGACCAACAAGGCAGCGCAGACAGGCACCTGCATCACAGTGCGTTGACCCCTCGCTTCCTCAGCTGTGGACCCCAAAACCCCTGGCCCCAACTTCTCCAGCCTCCCCTCAGGCCCCAAAACCCCTCTATGGCCACCCTGCTTGGAGGGAGGGAAGGAGGAAAGAAAGGAGGGCTGCAGGGATGGATGGAGGTGTGTGGCAGCAGTGTGCAAGGAGGGAGGGAGGGGTAGATAAAGCCATGCATGGACAGACGGATGGAAGAAGGGTCGGAGGTGTGCTAGGGTGGAGGGACAGATGCTCCGAGGATGGATGGAGGGGATAGAGTGTGATGGGATGGAGGAACAGAGGAACACAAGAGTGGATGGATGGAAGAGGGGATGGAGGTGTGCTAGGGTAGAAGCACATGAGAATAGATGGAGGAAGGGATGAACAGAGGCGTGCTGGCAGGGGCACGTGGGCAGGGAGGGATGGTGGGACACAGACCTGGCTCTGTTGTGAGCCGTGTCCCAGAGTCTGACCCCCTCCACACGGTGACGTCCCCCTCTGCCCTCAGGTCCTGCTGCTCTCCTTTGCGCTCATCGTCTTCCCCTCCGTCAGCCCCTTCGCCTCCAGCAAGGCTGAGCCAGACGGCGACTTCGGGCCGGTGCGAGGTGAGGAGGGCTGGGAGGGCGGCGCGTTGGCGTGTGGGGCACTGGAGCAGGCCCTGACCCTCCTTCGTGTGCAGTTTTCTCCAGGTCCCTGCATAACGCGGCAGCCTCACGCGTGGCCTACATGCAGCCCCAGCCCGGGGACGAGAAGCCCCCAGAGCCGCTGTGGCCAGAGCGCCCGGGTGAAGCCCCCGAGATCCTGCACAAAGCCTTCGGCAGCCACACGTCCCCCCCGCACCCGGACAGAGCCTCCCCCCGCAACAGCACGCAGCCGCTCACCCCACCAGTACTGAGCCATGGTGATGGGGACGGGGATGGCACCATGCCAGGGGACGGTGCCACACCACCGCTCACCTGGACCAAGGCTGGCCACAGCAGGCCAATGGTGCTGGAGGCAGCTGAGGAGCTTTAAGCAGCACCTAGGACCATGGGGGACAGTGGGGTGGCTTAGCACCTCATCCCCTATGGGACAGGCCCTCAAAGCGGCCCTGCTGGCGTCCCCACTCCAGGCGTGGGCAGAGGCTGGACCCATTTGGCTTTGCTCTTATCTGTGAGCTGGGAAGGGGCAACTGGTTCCCACTGGCCTTGCTGGGAGGGAAGGGGCTGTCCTCAGCCCCCCTGGGGGCAGCAGCAGTTGTGGGAGATGCAGGGTCCCCCAGGATGGGGACAAGGGGACATCAACATTGCAACTTGTTAGTTTTGTTCTTTTTTTAAGCTTCATTTTCATCTCTAAATAAAAGTTATTTTGGAAAAAATAAAAAAGAAAAGAAAAACTGCCTTAGCTGAGTAGAGGGTGAGCCACGGGGGAAATCAAGGGCCAGGGCCTCCTCCTGCCTTGCTAGGACGCAGATGGCCAGATCCTGCCCAGGGCTGAGCAGGGAGCACCGCTGCAAGCGCAGCAGAGAGACCATCTCACAGCTGCCAGCCTCACCGCTGGGCCAGGATCTGGAGAAAGCCCTTCACTGGGCCGCCAGGATCTCCAGGATGATGAGGGAGGTCTGGCCACACCACAGTCTCTCCCTTGGTCTCTAACCCGAGTTCAAGGGCTGGAAAGAGGAAAGAAGGGATAGACAGTTACCTTCATCCAGAATAAGGCAGGACAAGGAATTAGTTCCCAAGTGCAGATACCAGCCACAGCTGCACCTGGAAGCATTCACACCCTGCACGTGTCCTCACCTAAAGTGGGAATAAGTGTCCCAAAGTCCAAGAGACCCCATGAGAGGGGGAGGAACAAACCCCTGCAGGCACGAGGCTCAGAGGAGAGCTACCAGGCCAGGCAGGGGCTCTGCGGGAGCCCAGCACCAGCGCAGAGCACAGGGCATGCAAGGAATCCCTCAGATCTCTGCTCCTGCAGACCACGTCCTGCTCCGCATTTGAGCAAACCTCCTTGTGCTGCTCCAGGTTTGGGTCCTGCCCCAGCAGCCCCAGCTCTCTGGCCCCTCAGAGGCTGCAGGGCGCAGCTGGGCCTCTCAGGGAAGAAATTGGGTCCTGCTCAGCTCATTTCAAGCAGGGGATGGATCACCCTTCCCAGGCTGGTGGGTGCAGCTGCACAGACACACACGATTCAAGTGTATTTAATACTTACATAAAAAATGGACAATATTTAAGGGTATAAAAAAAGTCGGTAGGAAAAGTGGCACAGACTAGCGTCTAGACAGCCAGGAAACAGTCTGGGTCAGGTGAGGAGAGACTCCACCTTCATCTTCTTTGCCGTTGTTGGCCCCGTGTCCGGGCTGGGACAGTCCTGCTTCAGACTGTCACGGTGCTCTGTGAGCGTGGTCCCAAGGTCAGAGTGCACCCCAGTAGTGCCATTGTGCTGGGAGATGGGGTCTTCTTTGAGTGGTCGGCGAGCCCCAAGGTCAAATTTGAAGAGCTGTTCAGGCTTGATGAGCTCGGCACTCTCTACCACCACCGGCCCCGTCCACTCCGGCACCTCCAGCCCCAGGTGCTTCATCAGCTTTGTCATGACGTCATCAACGTAGGCGTGGATGCGCAGGTCAGCCTGTCTGTCCTGGGGCAAGTGAGGGCAAGAGCAGCGTTAGGGGACAAATGTCTGTTCCTGGAGAGCGCCTGGGGACACCGAGTCCAGGGCTTCTGTCCCTGAGATGTCATCCCTGGAGGAACATGAACCAGGACCCTGACACCATGGGACTGTCTGGCACCACTCCCTGGCTACGCTGCAGGCAGACAGGGCTTTAAACACAGCCCAGAAAAGGGGCCAGTGGTGCAGAGCTGGGCAAGTGGGCCCAGGTCACAGCGGGACAAGGATGAGGGATACGGAGCATACACCAGGCTTTGGGGCGGGTTTTTATTCCACTCTTAACATTTACCTTCCATTTCTAGGCGTTTAAGCAGAGTTGCAGGTTTAATCCCTGCAACTACAGAAGTCCAGCCCCATTCGCTTGCTAAGCAAGGTCCCTCTCCTCCAGCTGGTTGCTCCAGAGGTGACGAGGTGCAAGGACTAACCCGCACCGGGGTCGAAGCAAATAATGCAAGGGAAAAGGGGCAGAACAGAGCAAACTGCTGCGAATGCAACGAGCTGGCCAGGATACCCTCACTCACGTGCTTGGTTGCCTGTAGGTTGACTATGACCAGCTTCCCTCCCCTCTTCTTCGTGATCAGCGGGAGGTTGCCGCTGGGTTTGATCTGCAGAGAGGTCCCCAGCGTGACAGAGAGATCAGCTTTCCTGCAAGAGGGAGATAAAACATCCAGGGCAGAGAAAAAAACGTGGCTGCTTCTCTCACCCTGCCCCAGTCTGGAGCCTATGAACTTCCCATTCGGGAAAGCAAAGCTGTGGCCAGAATTTGCAGCATTTTTTCTTGGCCACTGTCTGGGCTGAGGGCTGGGCATTGCTGTCCAGCCCCAGAGATGCTCCCTGCCAGAGCTGCGAGGCACAAAACATGTCGAACAAAGCCAGGCAGGGGCAGCACAAGGTCTGCTGCAGTCCCAGCGGCGGGCAGGGAGCACGGGCAGCCTTCCAGGAGCACCTGGAAGCTGCAGGCATCAGCTCCTGCGCTGCCCCAACAGTGAGAAGGGCCCAAAAACGGTACCTGCAGGCTTCATCCGCCAGCGTGAGGTCGCGGTCGGGCAGGGAATCTTCCCAGTCCAAAATGGTGTCTCTTAACTTCCCTCTAGAAAAGACACAGACCACAGTTACCCCTGCCAGGTGGGAAGAGGCAGCAGAGCTGCTCTGGGAGAGATGGGATGGCTCGAGTGGCCCAGACCCTCATCGCACCCTCCTTGGCCCCGCACTGCAGAGGGACAGGAAAGAGCCTAGGACAGCCGCAGGCCCCAGCAATAACAACCCCACAGATGAGGGAAATGCAGAATTTGCCTGCAAGAGGCATTTTGTGGCTGGTACTGTAATGCTACCAAAAGTCACCAACGCAGCAGCTGTTTTGCTGGCCCAGCTCAGAGCAGGGGTGTGTCTTTAACTCCCCAGCATCAGAGGTGGATCAGCACAGCTCTGCCCCATGGCCTGTGTTCCCGGCTCTGCCGCACTGACACTGCAGCCAGGCTGGATGCAGAGAGGAAAAACCAGCTGGGCTGGGCGCACGTCCCGGTCAGCCTGGGTGCACAAGCAGGCGAGGGGCACGCGGAACGGGTCGGGGTGCCAGATCATACTAGGACACCGCCAGCTTTGGAGCGGCAGAGCTGGAAACACCACCTACGTTCCCCTACTGAAGGTAAGTGGCAGCAGGACAGAGCAGTGGCCGTATGCTGCTGCAGGGGAAGGGGTGTCTAGGGCTCTAATCCTACAGCAGAGCGTTCTCCGGCATGGGGACACGCTCAGGTATCAGCGAGGGAAGGTGCCCAAAAGGAGGCTGCGTGGCTAGTAGCTGGGACTACTCAAGAGACTCAGGCGCTGGCCTCCTACCTGGGCCTTTGAAGATCTCCCCTACAGCTGCTGCTTATTCACCTGAACTGGAGGGACTATGGGACCAATCCTGCAAAGTGAAGTCTGAGCACCAGCATCACTCGCTCCTCCCTGCCCAGGTGCTCAGCCTGCGGCCGGGCAGTGCAGGGCCCAGCAGGCTACCAGGGCACGTGCCCAGGGGGGCCGCCGGCCAGCA